CGGTAATGGCAACGATGTTTTTTTGTTTACACCAAACGACTTGCCTCGTCCTAGAAAGATGATGTTAGCATACGTTTAAATGTTGTTTAAAAAAGACTTTTTTTTTTTCACATTATGTTTTTATCAATTATTTTTTTTAAATTTTAAATTTTGAAATACGACAATCCTTTTTTTGGCATTTTGAAAAAAAAAAAAAAAAAAATTTTTTTTTTTACATATCGTTTTTAATGAAAATAATGATCTGACAGTTCAAAACGTCAATGTTAAAAATACATTTGATACGTTAATGTATGAGAGCGTTATTATCAAAACCGGTTTTTTTTTCGCTAACTCATATTGAGTATTTATCATTATCGCATGAACCTAAAATTGTATGTAATAACGAAAAGTAAATCAAAATATAGTTAGTCTATGACGATCAAATCGATAACGGGAATACTTTTCATTTCGTTACCCAATATCTGGTTTAGCTATATTTAGCTATTTTGTATTAATCAGCTATTCATACTAAATTCGGACTATAACCGGATTTTGTTTGATCGATGGGAACGCAAATTCTACCCAGCGGGTTTTAATTATGTAGTAAATTAAAAGTTTTCAAGTCCCTTTTTTGAGGTTAAAATTCTTTTATTATTAAACACGAATAATAATTTAATAGAGAGATTTCTGATTTTATCATTTAAGAAATAAAAATAATTAATACTGTACCTAATATGTTCGATAGTAAATTAATGTTCAAATGTTAAGATGCGCCATTTTGCTAAAATTGAAATTTAATTGTAGTTTTTAAATGGGACAAGAAAAAGGTAAGTAATTACTTCATTTACTGTGCTGCAATTATGACGTTGTTTGAGAGTTAATTTCGAAATAATAACTAGAAGTAATAAAAAAAAAAAGATTTCATAATTATAATTAGATCATTAAATGATCGTCATAAGATTATATGTTCATCATACATGACGTTTAGAAATAATATGATATGCACTACGCGTTCAGTCACGTGATTTGATAGCATTAGACGATAACAAATAATGTGACCGAAAAAAATTTTTAGGCGTAACGAACACAACCCCATTTTTTGAATTTTCTTTTTTCTGATAAAAAAATTCTTAATGACAAATATTAATGGGTGCGACATCATCTTCGATTTACTTAAAAATTATTAATTTAATTATTTAATTATCTGAGATGAGCTTTTAGCACAAAAAAAAAAAAAAAATAAAATAAAATAAAATAAAAATGAATTTTGCTGAAGAACCGACAAAAAATTTTAGTTCTATAATCATTTTACCACAAATATATCGAGTCAAGAAATCATGCACTTCGGAAACATTTATGGCAGATTTAAAAAATTTTTGTTCTCCACATAAAGAGAGTGGTGTCCATCCACCTCCATTAATAGCTGCACATCATTTAGAGTTTTTTTTTAAACAATGTTCAGCACCCTCAAGATGATCTTAAACTTTTGATTGTTTTGGGTCATCATTTGTATTATAATGATGATTTTCACAAGTTAATCTCTGAATTTGAGAACAATGATTTACTATTATCACAAAAAGTCTTGGAACTGGTTAAACTCCTAGTAGAGGATATGGAAGAACACGAAGATAATGAAAATATTGTCTTCTTGAATTGTTGTAGAATCGGTTGAATGATTTGATTTTGCCCCTATTACTACAACAATAATGAAGATGAAACAGTTCCCGATGGCGTTATAACGGTACTCATTCATGTGAATCGCGCGACTACTTGAACTATCGCGTCTTGCCTTCTAACCGGTTAAAATATTCTATGAGAGTTTGCGGCGCACAATGTTACCCTTTCCCTCTCCAATACCAAGCGTATCATTACACTGGCTTACGTAAGTGCAATCAGTGTCCAATTGTTGTCGTTTATCAATATCAACGTTAGCGGCATTATCAATATCAGCAGCGTCATCAGCAAGCGCCATCAAAATTGTGACAGCATCAATTGTTAAAGGCGTATTATAATATATTATATCAAACATTCAGAAGGATTTTCGGGTTTGCTCACACTTGTATTTTCTTCTGATGGTTTGATATATTATAAAATCCTCGATTTGATAAAAATGAGAAACGTTCTCATTTTCAACATAATTCCAATATACCATAAAGCGCTGATTAAAAGATCCTTTCCACGCGTTAAAAAAAAAAAAAAAAATTAAAAATCCTCTCCATGGTAAATCCTTCGGTTTGCTATATAAATTAATGTTAATCAAATCATCAGATTTTTTGTTGTTTACGCCATATTAAGTCTTATTTACCAGTCTTAAAAGAAATATATGTTGCTTCTAAATGTATATCACGACATTTGGGAAAAAATAGGTTATTTTTTTATCAAACGTTAAAGGAACCGCCGTCTTTAACGGACCGCAAAATTTATGGTACAAAGCCACAAAATTCGAAAGTCACTTAAAAGATACAAAGATTAATGAAACCAACCTCTATTAAATACATATATTTTTATTTATTAAAGGAAATAAGTTATATCTAATTAATGAATTTTGTGTCTTACCACGTCAATAAAAACGTTAACGCACACATCACCGGTATGTGTCACGTGCAATCATTAAATTAAAGGATTGGGTCTAGGACCATAAATAACCTAAACCCAAAGTCTAGGATTAAGAAGGTATGTGTCGTAGTAAAATTTAATCGTTCAAAACATATCTCAGTTTCATCTTGCAAGGACGGGTCAAAATAAAATTTAATGACATCCTAGGATCACGTCGTATCAATGAAGTAGTTTGAACAACGTTGCCGTTATTTCTAAATAAAAATGGCGTAAATAAAAAAAAAATACATATTTTATTGGGTCGATCAGGTGAACTTACTGAATTCGTAATTGAAGAGTTTGTTGACGTTGAATACGCAAACTTCGATGGGAACTTTGGTGAGAACTTTGGCGAGTGTCTATATATAATTGATATTAATATAGTTTTTTAATCATTAAAATTAAGTGCATGTATCATAAATATTATAATTACTATTCGGCCTAATTACGTAATATCTATCAGCGAATGGAGAAAAACAATTTTTTTTTGGTTAATATTTGAACTATCTCAATTAAAGAGAATTAAGTATATAACTTACTGTTCTCTGCAATCTCGAGCTGTTCTTTCAAGTACATATGCAATTCGATTCCAATTATTGAAACTATATTCGACTAACTGAATGAGTCGTATTTTTTCCTACATAAAATAAATATGGTAAATTTATAATAGAATAGGAACATATGGGCGCTTCGCAGTAGAAAGGGAAGAGAAATTGCCGAAAAAAAAATATTTTTTTTTTTCAAGTTAATGCTAGAAATGGACATATTTACTTAAAAATTATATTTAACATATAAAGTAATTTTTTTTCCGGCAGTTTCCTCCATTTTAATATGTATAGATACTTTACATTATTGGTCCACGGCTTGCCTCGCATCGCTTTGGTGGATTTAAAATGTGGAAGATTTATTAAAATTTAATTTTTTCCTTTTTTTTTTTTTTTTAAAAAAAAAAAGGGCACAGTTAAAAAAACCAAAAAAAAAAATTTAATTAAAATAATTAAAATACACGTGGATGTAATACAACTAATTCTATCCCTTAAATGGTAAGATTAAATTTCATCCAAATTTAGTCATAATGCAAAATTTTACCATATCGATTTAACAATGTTTTTAATTTTTTAGGCAAAATTTTGTCTATCGAATTTTAAAAAAAAGTTAATAAAATATAAAATTTTTAATTTTTAATAATATAATTTATAACATAAAATATGGAATTTAATATAAATTTTATTAACTTTTCTAGTAAATATTCACGTTTATTAAGTTTTTAAAATAGCGATTCAGGTGATTTAACTTAATTATGTTTTATCACCTGAATCGACTTAGATTAGGTTATGCGAGTATTGGGATATAACCCGAGTATAGTGATATAATCTGAATGTTATGATATGGTCTGATTTACATAAACTAAATTTCATAACTGAATTTATAACCTATAAATGTTAAACTTAATTGTGTAATACAATTTTATTAGATATCTTTTTGCTATCTTAGATATTATTTTAGATGATTTCTTTCTATTGATTCTTTATAATAGGAAAAATAATTTAACTATGATATGAAGATATAATCTAATTGTATTCTTTTTTTTGCCTTTTTAAATGCTCTTGGATGTCAGATTTTATTTGAACTTGGATCACTCTTTATAATATTTAGGAATTATTTCTTTTGAAACTTCAGGTTTTCTTTCAAACTAATTTGCTCATTTTATTGATTTAAAATTTAGATCTTATATATATTTTAACACTTATTAAAAAAATTAAGCTAATGTTTGCAGAACAGTTACAGTATTTTTGTCTTATTATCAACTAGTCTATCAGTCTAATATTTTGTTTTTCTTATGACAATTAAAAATATAAGGATATCAGAGTTTCTTATTACAGTGTTTGCAAATCTAATCAGCTTTCTTTAAAACTTTGCTTCTTTAAATCTTAAAATTATTGATTAAGAAATTGCTATTTTTTAATTCTGATATTAAATCTTCTCAATAATAAAGATATTACACTAAGACTTATGAATTAAAAGAAAATAAAGATAGTCTATCCATTAATATTAGCCTTAAATTCTTTTTATATTTAATAAATTTAGATACAAATGCTTATTTTAAAGCTTTTTCATAATTATTAATTATATGTAAGGTTACTAAATGAAATCTAGAATAAAGATAGTGCTGCAATTAGTTACAACTATATAATGCTTATTTGTCACCAGTTGTAATTATTTGTAACTCAATTTTATTAATGTTGTAACTAGTTTGCAATTCTGTAATACTTATTTATCATCAGTTACAACTAGTTGCAACATTATCTTTAATTTAGAGGTTCTGCAAATCATCTAAATGAAAAAAAATAAATTTAGTAAAATTATATCTTATTAAAAATCTAAGAAAGGTAAAAACTATATCAAAACTTATAAAAATGTGAAATTATATCAAAACCTTAATGAAAAATTAGCAAATTAAAATTAAATGTTTTGTCAAATCTAAAATGAGTTTAGATAAGCAATTTTAATTATATATCTATATTCTTATTTTACTTTAATTTTTGTATAAGTTTATTATAAGTTTAAGTTAAGGTAGAATTGATTTTTTATTTAAATATATATATTATTTTATATATTATATAGGAGGATTTCTAAGAAAATCAGATTTTGAGAAATTTTTGACTAAAATTAAGAGCTTAATGCATTTTAATCAAATAATATCAAAAACTAAAATGCAATAAAAATCTCAATTTTATTAAAAATTTCCAGAAGCTGATTTTCCTAACAATCAATCTAAATGTATTTAAATCTAGATCTACCTAAAAAGTTTGAATAATTGAGTTCTATATACAGTCTCTAGCAAAAAAAATGATAATAAAATTACTGAATTTTTTTATTACAGCATCACTATTTTTTATTGTTTATATTACCAAATCGAATAATAAATATATTACACAGTTAAAATTAGATCTTCTAACAAAAATATGGTCTAAACCGCATTTCATGAGATGTTCAAATGACTTTAAAGAACATCATCTGAAATGGGTCTTCTTTGAACTTCATATAGCCTAGACTGAGAATTGATACAAAAAATAAAATAATCTCTTATGACATGTTTCTCAATAAAATCTGATAGAAATAAGACAATTTACATTATGAAGTACTTACTTAGATGTTTTAATAATATGCTAAATTGAATTAAAGTATGAATCAGTATAGAAGAAGATTACTAATCAAATAATAAAAAATATTGCATTAGTATCAGTTTTTTAAATAAATAAAAAATTTTGCATTTTAAAATTTAAGTTTATATATGCTATTTAAAAATGTGTTTACCATTCTTTTCGCTAAGGATTATATATATTTTAAAATATATAAAATAATATATTAACTATTTTAGCTTTTTCAACTATATTAATAATTCAATAATTTCAACTATTTTAACTAAATTAACTAAATTAACTATATCAAATATGTAAAATATATCTGATATATTGATCATATCAATTATATAAATTATGTTACTATTTAGATCACATTATGTAAATCGATCACATTTAATCATTCAATCATAATATTGTAATTATAAATGTGAAAATTATATATAATTTTTTTAATATTACATCTATTAAATTGATATATATAATAATTTATAATAATTTTTTTAATAATATAAATGAAAACACATATGATTGTAATATAAGACATTTAAAATTAATAATAAAATTATATATGAAACTGAAATTAAAATGGTCAAAATGATTATGATGGTCAAAATGATTGAAATTAATTTTGACTATTTGTTAAAAAATTTAAAAAGTCAAAATCAATTATAATAGTTGAAATGCATTACGAGAGTCAAAATATATTATAAAGATTAAATAATAACAAAAGTCAAAATTGATATAATAGTCAAAATATATAGTAATACTAATATTATGATCAGTTCTTTAGGTTGCTTATAAGTGATAAGTAAAGTAACTTAATGTAATCTGTTCTGGTTTAAGAAATTCAAAATAAAATATATTCATATAAATATATGGTAATAATATTTAAATAGTTTTTTGATATACACAAATCAAATAGTGACATTATCTATCTCTTCTATAAAATTTTCAAGATAAAAAATATTTATCAGTATTAAGATATAATTATTTATTTACTTGACTTTGATATAAATATGATAGTATAGAGCAGTAAAATTTTATTTATCATTTTTAGATGCATTGTATGTTTCATTTGGTGTAAAATACTTGTCTTCATTTTCTTTACAATGTCTATTGCCTTTGATCCAGAAGGTTTTTTAATCTATTTGCTTTTTTTTTGAATAAATTACTTCTTATAATATAATAGAACTTTTTCCTTTATTTAATTTTCTTTCAATAGGCTTTCTTAGTTGCTTAGCTATGTTCATGATAAACTTTAGATTCATTAAAATAGTTGACCATTTAT